CGGCGTTTCCAAGCTTAACAGCGAACTCTAATTGTGGCCGCATAAACGTCCAAAAGACTTTAGCCAAGCAATACTCACCAAAGACAGAGAAAGCTCTCATGACAAGGCAAAGGACTGAGATCGCCGGCTTGGCTAACTTGGAGCAGTGGGGTGCCGGTTTAAATGAAGCCGTACCCCATACATCCAAGTCTTTCTGGGCGTCTACCTCCTGCAATGGTATGCCATTTAGGTGGTAAACCCTACGGTTTAGAGATCAGGTTCCACCGACTCAGAGAATGTTGCACTTAGTCACATTAGACAGCAAATGCCAGTCCTGCGACCATTTCTCGAGCCGGTTCAGGTTGACCTGCTTGGGCTCTTCGTCAAATTCAGTTCGGATGACGCTCCATAGCTTAACATCATAACTGAACATGAAGACATCACAATTCATTTAACTGGCACAAGCCCTGCACAGCTTGGCTATTTTCATGTGACTACTAGTCTGAAGACTGAATAGCATTATAGACCAGAACAAGGGAAACCAGAGTGGTCACTTTTGGCTTGCTGGCCGTCATCAAACAGCCATATCCAACTCCGAGGTTTGCGACCCCCGAGGCTAGATCCCTGAGCTTGTTAGTTAGAAGTCCAACGCTCTAACCGCTGAGCCACGGGTTATTTGTCTTGCCGGTTGCGAGCGGGTATAATAAAAAAGGCACGCACCGACCGCGCTACGGAACGCCCTCGTCCCGTTTTGCCTCAGAGCTCTCTCTCTCTCTCGAGTCTTTCCAGCAGTCGCACAGCGCCGCGTAATTTAGGCTGCAGAATAAAGCATCGTTAGCAGACCTGGTTGTGGCATGCATCCATGAACGACCCCCTAATCGTTAATGCATCCGATCCCAACCGAGAGGGAAACGAGCCTCAGACTCAATGGGGGAGCCCTAAAGCACGCAATGCTCAATGATCGAGGGGACCGAGTTTGAGTCCCAGGTCGTCCACATCAGGGGTCGGTCTGGTTTTCTAGCAAGAGCTAATGAGCCAGAAATTGCCATTCGAGTTTCTGAATTGAAAACAAGCATGTACAGCAGAATTTATTGGGGCCAATAAATTTCGTGACGGCTTTTCAACTGCAACCCGTCTCTGCATAACATAGGTAACGAATGAAAGCGCAACAGCAGTATGAATTTGTACAGAATGGCAGTGCATAGGAGCAAGGTCAAAGTTCAAAATAATTAATAATCAGATAAGACGTCCACATAAGCATCAAAAAGGAAAAGGGGGAGACGAAATGTTAACAACGAATCACAGTCAGGGGAAAATAGAGGCGTGAGATTACCAGGGCAATTGCAGATTGATCACGTGATCTAAATGCTTGCACAGGTCTGGTTTCTCCCTCCGTATGTAGGCTGCTTCCAAATAACGCAAGGTTCGAGTTGTACGTGCTCGGACAAGTACTCGAAAGGATGCTTTAGGGTCGACAACATGACCGCTATCTAACAGGTGTTTCGTTATAGACGAACGGAGGGTTATATTTTCCTGTTTGAAAAGCCAATTAGGCAAATGCTCAGCGGCCCTGGTTGCCAATTGCCTTTGCGTTCGCCCAATGTACTTGCATCCGCAAGTGCATGTGAATTGATACACACAATTGGGGGTGGCGTGCTTCACATTCCAGTTTCTCTCTCTTCCCTGTGGATACCCCTTCCTACATGATCATTTCTCAGTATGCCACTACCTGCGAGGACCGAAAGGCGCGCCGAGGAGAGGATACCCCCTAGTCTGATCGGTGAGTGCGCTTCCACGATAGTAAGTAATTCCCGAGCAGAAATGATAGGACGGCGGGCCCGCAGCTCATTGGCAGGGCTTCAGACTTAATGCTTAATGGCCAGGACATCCGCGTTTAAATACCGGGTTGTTCAAACTTGGAGTTACATATGACTGGCTGACGGCGGTGTGTATTCTAGACACGACACTACCCGTCCCTTGGCCGAATTCTCGGCCGCATCCGGGTTTACATGTCGGATACTTCCTGTCTGGACTTGAGGTTCGTTTGGCTGATGGCCAAAGATTAATTAGAAGTGACCTTTAATTCTTCCTCATTCGTTTTGCAAATACCGCTCGACTGTTGGCTGCTTACTGATGTAGCGCAGCCTGGAATCACTCTACTGACTGTCGACGGCTAATAAGCCAGAAATAGCCACTTCAATCTCCAGTCTTGCCTTACGGGCTCTCTCTCTCTCGAGCCCACCCAGTACCTTCACAGCGGCGCATGATAAAGGAAACATTTTTTTCCGACAAACAAAGAAAGACTGACTAAAAAGGCAGAAATGGCCATTCCAGTCCCCTTGTCTTTGTCGGTAATAACCCCGGTAGTAACATTCCGCCTATGTCATGCGTCGCTGTGCCGCTGCTAGTTGGGTTCGGGAGAGAGTCCGTAAGGCACAAAGAGAGAAGTGAGTTCCGCAGAAACGATCGGTCAGCGCTCCTTTTCCATCGAAAAGAATAGTTTCTAATTTTCTCCCAAGATGTGTCATTGGTTATGGAGGACGCACATGCTGTCAATCACACACGATGTGCATTAATTACTTTTTCGTGCGATCACGCTTCTGAGAAGGTCTTTTTGTTCAATGATTTCGTTTTTCTTTCTCTGACTTTTAGCGGTGCAATAAAGTCTTCACTAATACGTAAAATTTCGCAGTCTGGAAGGCAACTAGCTGACGGAATAACGCACGATACTTTCGATAGACCCGGAGGATTGAGAGTCAGGCTGCAGAAGCACCTTCTCATTATGGCCTTCATAGCACGCATGTGAGACCCGGGTCGCAATTTCAGCGGCCTGGCACGTCTGGAGTGGAGACCAGGTTGTGTGTGCGTGTGTAGACCGGATTGACGTTGTCTTTTGGTATGAAGAAAGTGGTCAGGGGCAGATACAGTGCCATAGATTGTAGCGCAAGTCAATCAAACTATAAACAAATTCACGCGCTTGTTGCCAGCCCTTCGCCCAATCCATTGGGCTTGCGGTGCAAGACGTCGATGGCGACGCTCGAAACATTATCGGCAATAACTGGTGTTCGTAAAAAAAAGAGATGGACAACATGGACGGAGGAAGAGGGGGAAGAAAAGTAAAAAAAACGAGCGACAGAAGGAAAAACAAAAATATAATGAAAAGGAGGAAGGAGGATACGGGGAAGAGGATGGCGGGAGTCAGGAGGCGATGAAGACTTGCGTGTTTGGAAGCGGTCTTCTGTTTAAGCGAAAGTATTTTCAGCTGATAATCTTAGTAGACATTTTACCTGCAAATCATGCCCTCAATTATAATGAGCATTTTTAAAGAAGGGATTGGTCTGAACGAGTAATTTTGCATACAAAGACAATAAATCTTAGGTACAGTTGCAAATATCCTAACAGGGTCGCTGCTAAACCTGGAACGTCTGCTAAAGTCTTTACTCATAATGATTCTGTACTTCCTGAAGGATGTCTGCAGTTGAATCTTATAAATTCATTGGAACCAAAAGCCACGCACTGAGCGCTAGGCATCTCATTAATGCCATCTTGCAGTGGAGTTGGTGGCTATTGGGCACTGGGTTAAACCAAAAAGTAAGAAAAGCAAGTCACCGGAGGATGTTTAGGCAGGGACGCAGTATGCGACCCCACTCGGGGAACAAAACCAGGTCATCGTGTATTACGGGTTTTGTGGGTGGAAAGGAAAGAGCGATAGTAAGCAAACATTCGGGTAAATACCTATGTTGCATATTTCTCTACAACTAGCGCACGCACCAGGAACCTAATTTCCGAGAAATAATGAGGATATCAAGATATCTGTAAGTGTACGCAAAAATTCAGTACTTTTTGCCGTTCTTTCAGTTTGTTTTCATAAAAAGCGGACTGCATCCCATCTAGTCATGATGGCGCGGAAGTGGTGAGTGGGGTCTCGTACTACGTCTTTGCCGATGTTTAGGTTGAGGCGTCTCGATCGTTGGTAAACAAGAATGTCAGTCGACTGACGTTTTTAAATTGCTCCCTACAACCATCAGAGACAGCGACGGCCAAGAACAGCCAAACATAAGCGTAAAATATTTGCAGGCTGTCGCTATTGCTCGGCTAAAATTAGCTGTGTCTGTGCTTGGTGTGGTAGTGAGTTGGTCGTTCGCGGCGATATCGCTAGCTGTCACGCCCTGCGCACCCTTGTTCGCGAATGCCATGATGATTAATCGGCCATATGGTTCACTGTTACTGTTATTGGGGACGGGGTTCGCCCACGCGCTCATCAGGTGCTTATTTCACCAGTCCAAATTTACTTTTTAACACTGTATGTGCGGGTGATCATCGCAGATGTCGAAAGTCTGCACAATAGAAAACACCCAGTCACTTGAGAGCGACAATGCGAGGCAGAACTGAGGGTTCTCACTTTGTCTTAGAGCAGAGTCTTCATAGGGCACGCAGACAGTCGCATGCCAACCAGCAAGTAAAGATTTAGATGTAGGCAGAATAGCATTGACGGGGAAGGCAAGTGAGAATGGAATAGGTATTTCTGACTTATTAGCCGTCGTCAGTCAGTCATACCTAACCCCAAAGTATGAAGCAGGAGGCGGGTGGGAACACAGGTGGGTAGCGCGGTCGGACCTGCGCCTTGGCGTTCCAATCCACACCCCTGATCCACAACAAACAAACACTCGACCAGGATTTTAACCAATAACAGCATAATAATGGGTCAAAAAGACGAGGATGACCGGGCAACCATGCTCACGACCCGTATAACCAGCGGGAGTGCAAGCGCATTTACTGCCAGAGAATCAGGTACCGGAGATTTGCTACCGCACACCAGGCTGTGAGGGCCATGGTTTGCTGGTCCTGGAATGGTAGACGCTAAAAATCCTCAGGGGAAATCACCTTTACGAGAAATATGAAATAAACCCCCTTTTTCTTATTCTCCCTCATCTCCTTGTTTTTCAACCATTTCCACAGTCGTCATTGTGCAATTTATTCTGGCAATGTCCTTTTTCGATGCTAGAAATATGGAGTAACTTTTATTCTTCGCCTCCGTCCTCCGCCTCCTCCTCCTCCTCCTCCTCCTCCTCCTCCTCCTCCTCCTCCTCCTCCTCCTTCTCTTTATCTCCTTCTTCCCACTTTCCAACTATTTCCACGATCGTCATTGTGCAATTTATTCTAACAATTTCTTGTGGTCAATTCCCAGAGCAATGGGTTTGGACAGTTTATGAGTATACCGGACCTTCATCATTCGTATTTGGTATTACATCCTGTTAATACTCCTCAAAGCTTCATCTCTGTGAGACTTACAGTACCTGTGCTTACTCTTAAAATGTCATGAATCAACACAGATAAAGGACTTTAATGCAGAATCGGTAAAAATTACGGCTTCCAAAGTCTGATAGCGGAAAATAAAAGGTGTGTCAAAGAAATAAAGCAAAGTTTGGTTTAGAAAATATTATTGACTGAGACAAAAATAATAGTTTTCGAAAAAAGTAAACATTTTCAAGAAACGCCTATATCACAACCAAGTTAATAAAGGCCACGTATGAGGACGTATAAAGGAGGAGGGCGCAAAAAAGGGCAACAAAATTAAGGACAGAAACAGTTACAAAAAATCAGTACTTTGTTGAATGTCCATTTGATTTAATAACGGCAGAACGTCTGTCAGACATAGAACTGGCGAGGTTATCTATGGTGGATTGTAAAATGCAATTATTGAGTATGAAATCCAATTTGTCCTGCATTGAAAGAGTCTTCTTAGCTTTGTGCCAATTTCTTTTGACTATTTCAAAAAGATTTTCGATAGAATTCAAATCGGGACTGTTGGCCGGGATGAAAATGGATTGGAGACCAATTGCGGAGAGGGTGGTTGTTGTCTAAAATATTGGATTATATTTGCAAGCGGCATCAAATTCGTACCTCTATAGAGCGGTAGACAGGTGCATTGTCGTGTAAAATTACAGCATCCATTCGGCGCCGACTCATACCGTTGTAGCCAAAAGCATCCTTGACAATTGCAATAAACACCTTGCAGTTGATGGTTTCGGATGTTGACCGCCAGACAGGCCGCTCACCGAATTTAATCGCCATCCAAACCATCATCCGTCGACAGTTCTTGAATGTTGCCGTCGGCGTAGTGCGTCCTCTTGGGAAGTTCTTTCTTTCGTAGGCTCGTCTAAAAATAAAACCTCATCGCAGAAGAAAATGCTCTTCCAAAATGAAGATCTGTAATCAATATAATTCTCAGCAAATAAAAGCCGTTCTCTAATTAGTTTTCTACTTAAATATGGCTTAATCATGGCCTTCCGCCGCTGCAGTTCAAATTCTTTCATACTTTTCCCAATGATGTTCATAGAACACATTAGCAGATGTTCCCGTTGTATGGTCTCAATTGGCATGTTATGAAACTTTTTTAATGTGCGACGAATAAAATCGTCGTCTTGCTTACTTGTGGACCATTTGGGTCACCCTATCTTATTTCTAGGAACAATTTTATCATTAATAATGCGCCACAGAGTGACCTTACTAATATTGAAAATACTAGCTAACGACTCACGCGGGATTCCCTCCGCCGTTAGTTTTCGAATGCGCTGGAAGTCTACTTCGGATAAGTATTGTTTAGACATGTTTATCGTTTGGCGTGATAGAGAAAAGTGACGGCATGTCGCGCGAACACAATATATATTCGTTTACGATACGCATTTTCGGTCTGGTAAAACAATCACACTGATAAACTTTTTATTTCGTTATTTTGAAACATAAAACTTTACGGATTTGTAAAATACAATTTTTAGATAAAGAATCGCACGTTATTTCCTGAACACAATAAGAAATAATTTATCTGCATTTCCCTGATTTTTTGATATTGAAATTTAATTTTTTCTTTTTGTTCGAAAGTTTATTAAAAAATTTCGTCCTTTTATTAATCTTCTTAAACAGATTAATAAGGTAACACAAAGAATTTCCATCCGAAAGCTTTAATAGCGTAGGAAACTGCTTGAATATCAGGAATCCTCCGATTTCGCCTAAATTCGGCCCGTTTTCCATTTAAAATACAGATCCGTATCAAACTTTTCTTAAGCAAACGGCCTTTTTGTCCTTATTTCAATTAAATAAACACAAATAACAACACCCAAAATAGGTTTCAGTTTCCATTATAATTTTAATCGCGGCATTTAATGAGTTAGCACAGGTATTGTATGTACTCTTCAAAGCCGATCTTGTGCGTGCAGAAGAACCTCGTTCAGGCTCCGCTTCTACCATGATCAAAAGTCAGTTAACTAAATGCAACTTTACGTGCCATTCCGATCTCACATCGCCCCTGGCATTGACTAATATTACCCGCCAACCACCCACCCCACATTCCCACACCCATCTTTTGTTCTAAGGCGAACGTTAACCGATTTTTCAAATCAATGACATGCTTTACTACTATTCCGTTCTCATATAAATGAACTGGCATGGCGCGAATTTACAGAAAGCAAATCTATTCTATCCATCTGGTCTTCTGAGCCTTCAAAGCGTTTTTTTCAGCTAGCTCGTTAGTTTTTATTAAGTGGCAACACAGATGACTTAGTTCTCAGTCAAATACTTCTTAAAATAGGCTCCATGTAAAAAAAGCACAGTAAACAAGTGTTGACGAAATCAGCCAGCGTTCCTTTTCGTAGTGCAGATAAGAGTTTGCATTTTTGGCTAGAAGTGCAGCCTTATGTTACGCACACTAATTATCCCAGCGTCAACTGGGGCCGGACATGTAAATAAAGGCTTGGTAACTGTTCTTTCAAGGCATATGCGTTGCTTTTTCTTTCTGTAATTAAAAAACATGTAGTTTGCGTCACGTGGGGAAAGAAGCCTTGATGTAATCCTGTATTGGTTTGAGCGGTTTGTCTCCCCGCATTAGGAACACCAGTTTAATTACTGTAACACCCTGGTTCTCTCCAGCAAATTAGGCCAAAATGAGACCCAATACATAGGCAAGGGTGCCGAGTAATGGACCACATTCACAAGAAACAACTAACCAATGTTATTTGCAGCATCTCGTGCGCTATCTGCTGTAGCGTTTATATTGGTCATACAGGCCGACGTCTTGGGACTCGTGCCAACGAGCATAAGTTAGCCCTCCAACGACGTGACCCTCCGTTCTTCGTATTTGCATACATCTTTGAGTGTGATCGCCGCCTCTGATTGGGACGGTACTGAATTGCTTGCAGTACCTAACACCTGACAGGCGCGAGAATTCCCCGAATCTTGGCATTATAACAAGAGCAGCATCAACCGCCATGTCGGTCTAGACGCTCACTGCGAGGGTTTACGTACACGCTCACTGACTTATGCCCCCGCCCTAACAACTGCTAATTCCTACCTGGCCACGTAGATTTGCACTGTCTCGCCAGCCCCTCCATCCGTAACGGCAAACCACAATCGAAAGTCCTAGCACCTCCGACGCCGGCGCGCTGACCCCTGGTCTCATCCAGTACGAACAACCAGCCGCCCGTAATTCCTACTGATTCACGAACCCCCTTCTTCTCCTCCAGAACAGGGAGCCGTCACAGCTCTCACCTCTCCACCGCTCCAAACTTGCCGTAACTCAGTGCCACCCCCACCATGCATCAGCTGTCTGTCTGTCGCTGTTTGTCCTGTCGCGCCAACCGATATGGTCGGCAGATCTCACTTTCTTTTCTATTCATTTCGTCCGATAACGGGTCGGTGTCACCAGTTTGAAAATTCACGGGTGCAAACTGGATTTGCGAAAGAGCCTTTTCTTTTTTTCATAAGTTTATGTGTTCACGCACCCCACAGAGGGCCTTTCTACATGCACCAATACGACGGGCGTTGTTCTTGGGCTTATGAAGTCGCTACTCTATCGGCAGCTTCCTGAAGGGTTAAGATGCTGGCCGCAAACAGATCACACGCGATTAAAAAATCGATAGGCATTTCAAATGACTTTTTGAGCTGCCCGGTTTCGCTCTGGTCGGATCTTTCCCCTCCTCCCTGTGCGTCAATTCTCGGTCACTGGCTGATCGGCCCGTGACAGGCGGTTGACCATTCGCTCAATCGCGAAGGGTATTAACTCACTGCAGGCAGGTCGAGTCAGGCATACTACTATCAGTACCTTGAAGTAGATGCGCTATCACATGAAATATCAACCGAAATACTGAATTGTGTTTTTAATTCGAATACATTACTTAAGTATCCTCGTCATTTTAAATGTCGCGGGACACGATCCTAAAGTATTACAGTTGTGTCAGGGTGTCGGTTTTTGAGCCAGCATAAACTACATTCCGTAAAATGTGACTGCTTAATTGGTTTGCATTTTCCCCTAGATTTTTGATGCCCTTATATATTCAAGTATGCACCGAAATGCATTTTTTACCGTACGGGGACAAAGTACGTCTTCATCGAAGTTTTCTAAATTAAAGACTGGGCATTATTTGGTTCTACAAAGTTTTTCGATGTAAAGTAATTTTGAACCCGATATGCATTACACTTGCACTCAGGGCCTCTAAACTGCATGCTGTATAGTTTTCGTGTCAGCAAAATCATATTTCTTTCGCTACTAAGAAGACGTTTTATAGGGGCTCATGAAATGTTGCAGTGGATGTGGATCATGTTGCTCACTTCATAAGCAGCACTAATCAATGTGCTGATGCGAGGCTGTATGATTAAGACTTCGCGATCGTAAGAATCTCATAATCAGAAACTTTTTTATCACCGACAGATATTGTTTCTTTAAGCACAAAAACTGAAGAATACGTAAAGTCCTACCAAATTTATGCAAGAGACAATATTTTTCTTCATATTTCCTATAAAATATATTTTAAATTGTAAAAGCATTAAACATCAATGCGATAAATGCGTGCCACTTAAGCAATCATTTTTGCGGAGCGTAGATTTGACGACTGTCGGAAAAAGCTTCTTCAAAAGCCGGAAACCTGGTGTGCCTGAAATATTTCAGAATCATGCTGTATGGTCATTACAGTGAGTGACTAATCTCGTAAAATTCTGGCCATCAATTAGGAAAGATTACTTAAATGGGGTTGGAATACCGATTATCATGCGGCATAATGCTATAATATTTTGGACTTAGCAGGGTGCTAGCCTTTGAATACACACCTTCTAAACGTCATGTGGGAAACAAACGCGGCAGAAAAACGTCTACTTACGTAGCATGAATTTTTCACACTGATTTTCGATGGTCCTAAAAATTCAAATATATTTTTTAGAAGAAATGTACAAGAATATACTTCCGTTTTCACGTTTGATAGGAATTTACGTAATTTTTACATTGTATACTCGAAAAACGAGTAGAGTAAGGTCGTTAAGAGGTCTTTAATTGTGAGATTTTTTAAAACCAGTCAATGACCATTCACACAGCATCGTACCTGTCTGTTTACCAATACTCCTCATGAAATGCACATCATAACCCGCATCCATTGTTAAATTTTATAGATTTTATATAGCCTCTATTTAAAGGCACACAGAAATATATGATATCCCTCACACGGAAAGTATGCACTTTGTAGACTGAAATCAATAAACGATAATGCAAAAACTGATCAGGCTCCAAATTATTCGGGAATTAAGAAACTTCTAAAAGAACACAATTATCCTTCTTCTTAGGGCATAAAATGTGAAGATGAACCGATTTACTATCAAACAAGTAAAGAAAGGCATATTTTGAGCATGTTTTGTAAAAAAATATTAAAATTTATAGGAAGATCGAAAATCAATGTGAAAAATGCATGCTATTTCAGTAGTCATTTTTTACCGAGTAAGGTTTCTACAGGAGGTCAAAAGAAGTACATACAAACGCCGACATCCCGTTGAGTCCGAAATATTATAGCATTATGGGATTGATAATCAGCATTACAAAGATACCTAATTAGTCCTTCCCAATCGAAAGCACATTTAGAATTTTGGCCAAAATTTCATGAGATCGGTAGCTTTTCAACCCTACTGTACTAGTCTTTTCGAATTAAAACCACATTTCAGAATTTCCGTAACATTTCATGAAACAGCACATCGTCCAACAGGATGATTATCCCCGCAGACTCCCAGATAGTACTTACCAATAACTATTTAAATATGTCCTTTAACGAAGTTGAAAGGTGTCATAAAAACACAGGCGTTGGTATAATCAAATTTCGCCGCCTAATACGCAAAGCCGAGCTCCGGAGAAAATTAATCCGACTGCGCCAGGGCTTAAACCCTGTAATCTGCTGACCATGGTCGTTCACGCAATAGCTGAGAGCGTTTTTAGCAAATCGGGACAGTCGGCGTATAATCGCATAAGCGAGTAATAACAGTCGGCTGGGCTAGCAGCCTGGATTAAAAAAAAACAGCCCTGAGCTAATGGGTTCTGAAATGCAGGCAAGCGCTGCTGCCTCAACGTTTATTCGATGTTCAGAAACGCGTTGTATTTGTCCTTTCCTCACTAAACATTTCTAATTGCAGTTGGAGACATAAACGTGATTCCAATGATAATGATTCGAAAAACATAAGGGTAGTTTGCGAGTAAATGTATCCCAATTTTTAAAGGAAGCACTACCCTAAATTCTATGGAGAACCATGTTTAAGGTCAGGCTAAAAATAGGGCGCGGTAATGCGTACGCTCTGGAATTTAGCGCAAAACCTTCTGTAGTACAAGGGTTTTACATTGGATGCGCAAAATTGTCAACTGCTAACGGAAATTCTGAATTGCTTTTTTGGCTCGAAAGACTACTTAAGTAAGGTTGTACTATAACTAACCGTTCAGCATACCCCCTAATAATTTAGTTGCTCCAGGATGATAAATTTCGAACGACGATCTTTTCGGCAGCCTGCAAAAACTACACTCGGTAAAAAGTGACAATTTATGTGGCATGAATTTTTCTTGTTAATTCTCGATGCCATTGTAAATTTAAATATATTTCATGGAGTTGCTGCATAAAAATATTCATTATTTTACACACGCACTAGCAAATTACGTCTTCTTTAAACTTTACATCTCAAGATATAATGCAATGCGGTTTTCAAAAAAACTTTTCCAATCCATGGATAACTTCTAAAACCGATATGCCATTTCACTTGCATTCAGGGTTTCCACACTACGAACTTTATATTCTTCATGTACGAATAATCATGCATTTCTGTATGCTGTTTAAAGAAGGCCATATGGGGATTCGTAAAATATATTCATGGATTTGAGCATATTGCAAACTTTACACTGCTGGGACACGATACTTTACGAACTGGCATTTCACGGTCCTAAAAAATCTCAAAGTTGGAAGCTTTTTAGAATCAAATTATATTTTTCTTTGAAATAGAAAATTTAAAGAAGACGAAATTTTCTACTGAATGAGTAAGAAAATAAATATTTTTATGCCGGTTTTCTATGGGATACATTTGAATTTATAAGAGCATCAAACACCAGTGAGGAAAAGTCATTCTGCCTATGTAGTCACTTTTTACAGAGTATATTTTTTGCAGGCGACCGAAATAAGTTCATTTGAAAGCCGTCATCCTGAGCTAACCAAGTCATTGTGGGGCTTTGCTGCACGTTAACCAATATCACAGCCCTACTTGAGTCATACGCATTTCAGAACTTCAGTTCACATTTCGTGCGTTAACATATCTATTGTATATCAGTGTTCAACAGTTTTAAGTGTCGCATCCGCAGGATGATGACATGCAAGACAGACGGCTCTGCCTTTTGCAGTGTAGGTTTTCAAAGGTGCCTTGCTTAAGAGTCAAAGATCCCTCTCTATCGAAGTTGGCCCTTCCACTGTGACTCGATGAATCATACGGCCGGTAGTAGCGAATGCAACCGTTTACGACAAAAATCATCTGAAGAAATGGTCTGCGATACGCATCATAATCTACGAAACTGCGGTTTGACATTTTAAGAAATTCTTAAACAAAAATACTTACTTAATACGAGTTTAAAGGTTGACTTGGAGTACAAGATATTCACAGAACGTTTCATGCACTGTGAAAGGCGTCAGTTGGACGCACGTCTTCTCCGTTCACCCGTTGTTGTTTCTTCCCAAAACAATGCTTGAGTAGTATGTATTTTGTCAAATACTTACTCTAATCTCTAAGGAATCCAGCAGAAATAGGTTTTTAGGCTTTAAAAAATACACTCGAGGAATTGCGTGTACTCTACTCTACTCAGGCACACTGGCATTGCAAACTATGTGGCCAGTAGCAGTCAAAGCACGCTTGGAACTCAAAAGCGTCTGCAAATTATGTTTTGATAAAACACGTAGCATGTAAGTGAGAAGAGAACAACAACAGAGACGCGAGATATTTTTTTAAAATGCGAACTTGTGAATAAATATTTAAAATCGGCAACATCTATTTATTTAAGTAATACCTTTAAAAAGGATGACATTTTCTGGGAAGCGAGCATGATATATGGACTGTTTGGGAATTTTGGCGAGGTCTGAGTCTGCCTATACAAGCAATTAACCGGTCATTGCTGCAAAGTGCATTTGTTCGATCTCCTACGGGACTCATAGGCGAAGGTTAGTCAACCTGGCGGGCGTACACCGGGCTTGGTCTGCTCGCCGTCCAATATGGTCCACTGTAGTGCTGATGTAGAGAAGGCAATATCCATTTGATTGGCATCCAGAATCACTTACACCGACACCACCACCAGCACAACACCCACTACAACTAATGTTACTACTACCACCACGATCATCATCATCATCATCATCATCATCATCAACAACAACAACAGCAAAACATCCATCACAACCACCATCACCACCAGCATTATCGCCACCATCACCATCACCTTCGACTTCTTCATCTTCATTTGATAGGCACCAGAACTGAGGGTCATATGGCTAGAGCCGACCGACGACTCCGCGTGTCGCAATTTATTTCCCGAATGGCCATGGCGACGATATTACAGGTTTCAGACCTAATAAAGGCTTTCATTTGGTGAAACGAGGAAAATACGCATCTACTTAGATTAGAATTGCGTCCAGCGGTAAATATATTCTTAACGATGACAAGCGGCAACTAGGCAGAAGTGAGGCGTTTCTGATTGCAAAGAAAAGGGATATTTTTGGGGCAGATGAAATAGAAAGCGAGGGAGAGGAGAAGGCAGAAATGTCCGTGGGAAGGAAAGAAAACCGTTGTTGTTTCTTCCCAAAACAATGCTTGAGTAGTATGTATTTTGTCAAATACTTACGCTAATCTCTAAGGAATCCAGCAGAAATAGGTTTTTTAGGCTTCAAAAAATACGCTCGAGGAATTGCGTGTACTCTACTCTACTCGGGCACACTTGCATTGCAAACTATGTGGCCAATAGCAGTCAAAGCACGCTTGGAACTCAAAAGCGTGTGCGAATCATTTTTTGATGAAACAAGTAGCGTGTAAGTGAGAAGCGCAAAACAGCGGAGACGCGGGCTCTTTTTAAAGTGCGAAGTTGTGAGTAAAATTTTAAGGATGACGGCATCTATTAATTTGAGCAATACCTTTAAGAAAGATGAAATTTTTTGAGAAACAAGCACGATATATGGACTGTTTGGCGATCTTCGGTGAGGTCTGAGCCTGTCTATAAAAGCAGTTAACCCGCCATTGCCTCTAAGTGCACTTGCTCGATCTCCTCAGGCACTCATAGGCGAACAGTAGTCAACCTGGCGGGCGTACACCGGACTTGGGCTGCTCGCCGTCAAATATGGTCCACTTTAGTCTTGCTGAAGAGAAGACAAACTCCCTTCGATTGACATCCAGAATCGCGAACACCTACACCACCACCAGCACAACACCTAATACAACTAATGTTACCACCACCACCACCACCACCACCACCACCACCACCACCACCACCACCACCACCACCACCACCACCACCACCACCACCACCACCACCACCACCACCACCACCACCACCACCACCACCACCACCACCACCACCACCATCATCATCATCATCATCATTATCATAATCATCAACAACAACAACAACAACAACAACATCAATAGCAACAACAACAACAGCAGCAGCAACAACAACAACAACAACAACAACAGCAACAACAACACATCCACCGCCACCACCATAATCACCATCATTATCGCCACCATCCCCATCACCTTCGACTTCTTTATCTTCATCTGATAGGCACACTGAGGGTCATATGGCCAGAGCCGACCGGAGACTCCACGTGTCGCAAGTTATTTCCCCAATTGGCCATGTCGACGATAATACAGGTTTCAGCCCTAGTAAAGTTTTTTATTTGGGTGTGCAAAGGGAACACTTGATGAAACGAGGAAAATACGCATCTATTTAGATCCGAACTGCGTCCAGGAGCAAATATATTTTTAACGATGACAAGCGGCAATTCGGCAGATGTGAGCCGTTTTTGAAGGCAAAGAAAAGGGGTAATTTGAGGGCAGAAGACATAGAAAGCGAGGGAGAGGAGAAAGCAGAAATGTCCGTGGGAAGCAAAGAAAACTTAACTGCGCAAATCCTTTGTGAATTCCTGCGCTGTGCAGGTATTTAGATATGTTCACAATTTTTTCGTATATGTAGATGAAAACGATGCAATCCACTGGTCCTAGCGGGTTTTCCGCAACCGCTCTTTTAATTGCCAATTCGAAATAAAATTATTACTACAGACAAACGATAAAAAATCCAAAAGTTCAAATGATGAAAAATTGACAAGTTTTGGTTAAGACGGAGTCAGTAGTCTTCCTTCAGCTCCTACTAGATAGTTTTGTAGTTTTCTACTATTGTAGTATGCTAAAATATCCGACGCATCTACGTGCACTTACTGAGTTAAATTCACATGCATAACACCCGCGCCTCCTGATTGGTTACAGGAGGGACTGCGGTACTCGTTATCCGGAGTTCGCCACCTTAAGCGAGCTAATACAGGACTTGCTACCTGTCAATTTTCCGAATGGGCACGGCATTTTTCACTAATAAATATGCATATGCGTAGGTCTCCGAGATGAGGATCATTGTAAAGAAAAACGCAAAGGCGAATTCCGGGGGATCGAGGGAAATGCGATCACTGGAATAAAGATTTTATTTGTATGAAGTTTCAGAAAGGAATTTGAACTCATCAACTATGAGAGCGATCAAGCAGTCATCGCAGGAAGTAATGAATGCGCAAAGAATTTTGCTGTACAGTGGCTGTGTTCTCTAAGTAGTATGTATCTCCATTGTTTACATCGTCTTTATCTATTCTCGTCTCTAATGATGTGTTCGGGCGCGCATAAAATTCTTAAGAAGAGCGTCCGGCATCCTAGTTTTACATTGGGCTGTCTACCGGCTGAGGCGTTGGAACCATGTATTCCGACTAGAAGAGCAGTCAGTAATAGAAATGACATTACGAAAATTGCTCCTAAAGACTTGGTTCGCAGTATTCGTAAAAGCCGATCGGACAAGATAACTTTCGGAGGAAAGCTAGGTCAGACAGTAGAAAGTGGAAATGCTTCGTACTACGGATGACCTCGCATTAAAATTGCAGGGGATGCCTATTCACCTGTCCGGGATGCACAATGCAGGAAGTGTGTTCCGAAATGGATTTCAAAACTCATTTCTCGGGAGTCGGTTCGCAAGAAGGCGCTCGGAGGATACTCTACCTTATTCAGATTGGGGTCTGTCGTCAAAGAATGAAGAATGGGACTAACCCGCCATCTCCGTTTAAAAGGATATTACAGACAGACCGAACTCTGCAAAGATGATGAAGTTACGATCACCAGATGATGAGAGCGCGAATACTGTAATCGTGAGCCTGAACTTCCGGACCTACTCGTCGTTGCACGCTCATACTACCTGATGGATAGCTCCTGTATAAGTCTGAAAACTCCGGCTAATATGACACGCCTTCATTGCCTTCGCAGCAAGAAAATGGGGCTCGTATATTCGCATCCAGATAGAACTGATTGTGCAAGACCTGATGTGTAAATGGGGGTTGTGATCAATAAGCTATACAGCGGTCTATGTATCGAAGGTTGCTGTTTCACTAAGAACATCTTACAGAATTATGGTGGAAAATGGGGATGCCTCGTTCTACAGATGACCTCGCGCCAAAATGCGGGGATACCCATTCATGTTTTTTGCTTTTAACACTTCTACCCGTAATTCTAACACTAACCCTCATAACTTTAATTATAACAATTCTAGCAGTAGCCATAACCTCCCAAAAATAAAGGCAATGGGGGATTTATGTCCCGTGTCCGACCGCCCGCCCTCAAAAACCACTTTGTAAAAAATGATTACGTAAATAGCACGCGTTTTGCTTATAGATTCTTGTTGCCCTTAAAAATTCAACTATGAATGAAGGCGAAATTTCGAGTCCCAGGTGTATACATATTTGAAGAAGAAGAAGAAGAAGAGGAGTCGAGCACCGGAACGATTCGTTTATTATCCTGAGCTTTCAGACTCGTACAGGAGTCCATCGTCAGAGGTAGTGGCAGAAACAGGACAAGCGGCAGTAATAAGGCACGTAGACCCAATCGTCGACCGACGTCGCACGACTGGAGGTGACTACGAAGGGCTCCGTACGCCCGCGCCAGATCGATAAATCGATTGACCGAGGCCCAGGCTTCAATCAATTCTCGGCCTGTTTTGTTTCCGGCGTGGGCAACTAGTTTGGTGGCTGCGCATACATGAACATAAGCTAGCTGTGCGGCGAGGCGACGCATTATCACAAGTGGCCGCCCACACCTACGAAATGGGTCACGAGTTTGACTTCGCAGCCACCAAAATAGTTGCCCACGCCAGAAACAAAACAGGCCGAGAATTGATTGAAGCCTGGGCCTCGGATGAGAACTCGGCCAATCGATTTATCGATCTGGCGTGGGCGTACAGAGCCCTTCGTAGTCACCTCCAGTCGTGCGACGTCGGTCGATGATCGGGTCTACGTGCCTTATAACTGCCGCTTGTCCTGTTTCTGCCACTACCTCTGACGATGGACTCCTGTACGAGTCTGAAAGCTCAGGATAATAAACGAATTGTTCCGGTGCTCGACTCCTCTTCTTCTTCTTCTTCTTCTTCTTCTTCTTCAAATTCAACTATTTTTTTAAAGAGAAAACATGCATAAAAATATTCACTTTCTTGCTCATTCGGCAGAAAATGACGTATTCTTCAAATGTAATATTTGAAGACCAGGTATAATTCGGTTTTAAAGAGTCTCTAATTATGAAAATTGTTAACACCGTGAAATTCCCGTTCATAACACATCGTGTCTCTGCATTTAATAATGTTGCTTGCAAAGTTTACAATATGTCTCAAATCGACTTATAAATTTTATGAACCGCATATAGTCTCCTCTGAATAGCGTATGAAAATGTATAATTTTCAATACATGGAAAATATACAGCTTATAGTTTAGAGACCCTGAATGCAAGTATAACGGCGGGTGGCATTTAAAATTATTCCGAAGTTGGAAAACCCAAAACCGAATTACATCCCTTTTTAAAATACATAATTTTAAGAAAAATTAGTTTTCTACTGAATGAGTAAATGAATAAATATTTTTATGCACGTTCTTCAGAAAATATAAGTGAATTTATGACGAAACCGAAAATCAATGAGAAAAATCCATGCTACGTAAGTAGTTGCCTTTTACATAGTTGTTTTAACAGGCAACCGGGAAGAATTTCTTTTTAAAAGCTGGCGTCTTGAAAAAGCTAAATTATTTCTGGATTATGCTGCATGCTGATAAATATAACAACCGCTCTTATTTGATCTTTTACGAGACGTAAATGGATATCAAAATTTCGGTTTACATTTAATGATTTAGCACCTTTTCTGTAGTTATTTTACAAAACTAATTCTTGATGATTTATGAGGGTCATATAAAGGCGACATTTAATGCCAAAGGGACGAATTATCAGCAGCGCCATTATATTGGCATTTTTCGAATACGTTTTAGCAACGTGCCTCTGAGTGCGGCTGAAGAGGACATTGCGTACTAATACAAAGCAGCTGACATCCTTGTTTTCTCAGTCTTCATCGGCTTACAAGTTGTCACTGGTTGCCCGGTCGATTTTCCAGTTAGCACGATGTGGACACATGGAGGCCTGGGGGAACTCACTTGTACCTGAAAGCCAGATGCATGAGCACAGGTACCATAGTTGGCAGTAGAGGCATTAGCTGAAAGTCCAGACACGTGTTTTACCGATATTCTGCCGCTGCATGATACAGCGGCGAGGGGTCGACTCATAATTGGGTCCCCCAGTGCTCACTGTATGTTTTCCTGCTGAAACCTTCCGCAGCTCTGTCAGGAAGCGGCAGAATATCGGCAAAACAGGTTTCTGGGCTTTTAGCTAGTACCTGTGCTGCTAGTATGGTATATTGTTGCACCAAAATATACTACTAGCCGCAACAGGAAGAACACGCGAAATACTGGGAAACCCATTGAGGACTCGAGCCCCTCACAGGTGTGCCATGCACTGGCAAAATATCGACGAATCTCGTGTCTGCGGTTTCGGCTAGTACCTCTGTTGTCTTGAATGGTATATTTTGCGACCTATACATGAAGTATTGACCACCTTTTCACAGTTTATGCATATTACGCTGTTATTCAACTGTGGCTTATGGGCTTCGGCCCAAATATTCATATCGGGTTCCAGTCTGAGTCTATAGGTCTAGAATTGACCGATTCACTCCAAGTTAGCGATCAGTATCTGAGGAAATTTAAAAAACCCAAGACTGATGTATTTTTGTTTCCACGCGCCTGGGCTAGATCGCAGTTGGTAGCCAGGCCCCGCATTACAGATGGCTGGTGGTTTGTTTACTGAGGCTATTTTGTGGGGCTCCATAATCCATTTGGCTTCCGTTTAACGCTTGAGGTTAGGTTTAGGACACCGGTTAACTGTTTCCGATTTTCGGATTATGGTTATGCATTTAGGCTTAGATTTTCTAGTTACGGTTAGGGTTTGAGCGTACGATTATGTTTCAGTATTGCGGTTAGGTTTTCCAGTTACGCCTATGCCTAAGGGCTACAGTTACGTTTACGATTTCGGCTAGGTTTAGGGTCAGGGTTACTGTTAGCGTTAACGGTTAACGTTTAAGGTTGAGGTTAGGGTTAGGGTTAAGGTTAGGAATAGGGTTACGTCGCCGTCCGCTTCCCATTCTTGGCTACCAACGGCGATCAAACCCACGCCTGCAGAAAAATGCACCGCGAAAGTCATAGGCGAGTGCATGGCCACTGACGACCTGCGGACAAGGGTCGATTACGCTGTCCTGGTCCTAAGTGTGTAAGTGCAGTGTGGACATTGAAAGTAAAGTAGGCCGAAGTGGGATGCCGAAATCGTTAGTGGAGACAGTAATGGGAGCTAAAGGGGAAAAGACAAGAGACTGAAAAAAGCCTGGAATCCCCGAAAACGGTCTGGCTGACGGGACACGCGGGCCAGCAATACACCAAACCTAAGGGTAAAACTAGTCCTAAACGTAATTACAAACCTAACGCTAACCCTAAAATTAACACAAAGTCTACCCCTAAGCCTACCACAAACCCTAGCCCTAACCCAGAGCCTATCTCCTACCCAAACCCCTATCCCAGCCTTAACCATAACCCTAACCCTAACCTTAACAGTAATACTATCCGGTTAGATAGCAGTTAGAAGCCAGGACCCGTATTACAGGTTGCGGGGAAGTTTGTTTACTGGGGCTATTGTGTGAGATTCCATAATCACATCTGTCCCCTTTGGCTTGCGTTTTACGTTCGAGGTTAGGATTTGGGTACCGGTTAATGGTTTCCGATTTTGGGGTTAGGGTTATGCCCTTAGGCTTAGGTTTTCGGGTTACGGTTAGGGTTTGAGCGTACGATTGGGTTTCAGTATAACGGTAAAGTTTTCCATTTACGGCTATGTGTAAGGGCTACGGTTACGTTTACGATTTCGGTTAGGGTTAAGGTAAGGGTTGCCGTTAGGTTTAACGGTTAGCGTTAAAGATTAAGGTAAGGATTAGGGTTAACGTTAAAATTAGGGTTAAGGTCGCCGTCCGCGTCCCCATTCCTGGCTACCAACTGCGATCTAGCCTACTATCCTAACTCTAACACTTACCCTAACACCAACCCTAACACTAAACCTAAACCGCAGCCCAAACTCTAACTCTAACGGGAATTCTTAAACGTAACACAAACCCTAAACTCATTCCTCAGCCTGACACTAACCCACACTCTAAAACTAACCCTTCCTCTGGGCCGAAACATCAGGTTGCTCCTTGCCGTTTTAGCTTTAGCCACTTTCCCACTAACAATTTTAGCACCCCGCTTCGGCTTACATTACTTTCAACACCCACATTGAACTTACATTTGGAACCAGGACAACGTAGCCGACCCCTACCGAACTTCGTTTTGTCTATGGCGAATAAATCTACTCTGCGTGCCATCTACTTAGCGTGTATGCAGGTTTTTACCTCAAATTTCCGCCGTAGCTGGTAGCTGACTAAAGCGAGCAGGCAGATGTCTGAATCAGCTCATTAACTAGTTGCCGCCGTCATTATCACTTCGCGTGTTATATTGGATGCTGGTTATTTTTACGTTCGGATATTTGGTCGTCGTAGACCAGACAGGGGGGATTTTTCCCTAAAAAACAAAAGTGCTCAACGGTCTTCTAATTTCACCCTGTTCTACTCCTTCATCGGTCCCCTACAGAACTTGTCTTGGCCTAAGCTGCAATCAACAAATAAGCAACGAAGATGATAATTCGCTCTCGAAACAAAGCATTGCTCAAGCCAGTGCGAGCGCCGCACTAATAAGTAAAATGAGTTGCTTCAAGTCAAACGGACATTCAGATCACTTATCTATCTTACCTGGAGCGCCTGCAAAGACTTCCCGTTTCGATCCACAGTCTACGCGGTCGGTCGTGTTGCGATGACTGATAAGTAACTGAAAAATGTCGCTGAATAAAAAGACAGGCGTGACTGCAAGGAGCCCTTATTGCCCGTCTTTCGTCTTTCACAGCCGAGGCCCTATGCTTGGAAATGCATCCGGCTACTCATATAAACAGATGCTTGGCAGGGAGGCTGCGACCGGACTCCCACTACGGACAGTTGAATTAATGGAGAAAGGGACGTTGGTGTTGATTAACTTTTGAATGCCCCGCCAGTCAGGCGGGAAATGAAGTTTAAGGTAGGCAGCATCTGTTTTACACTTACTGTCAAGCAAATGGCTGGAGTGTTAGCACAAATGCTAACAAAAAATTCGCATTTTGTGCTAAACATGCTGATGATATGATCGTTGGTGATTCGGTTAAAAAATGAAGTCGACATCTAACTTCTACAAGAAGGCTTGCATCATTTTATGGCATGGTCGTCGAAATGCGATTTTCCTGTAAATGGGTGGAAATTGGTCCCATGTGACGTTTGCTTTCAGTCAGCTTCAATGCCGGATTCTTTTCAATTGCTGCTGAACAAAGGTGTTTCTTTGTCGCTAACGGTCAAACAACTTCTGAACTTACTTTTTTGTAATTTCCCCGATCTACCATACACTGGGCTAACTGCTGTTAAATCCTTCCGTACAACCCCAGATGGTTTTCGTCATACCTGCTGGCTTTTAGAGCACAGTTATATCCTGCTTTGCAAGTTTGCTGTCGCGTTAGGAGAGCGAAATATGGAAATTAAGATTTGATTCGTCGACCAGCTTTTGCTAACAGTTTTAATAGCATTTAGGCCTTTGTGACCTGGCCATGGTGAGTGAAGAACGATTTTTCTGATGATGTTGCAAAAATTGGAAATTATAGATTGCTGAGTCTCTTCGACTCAGGTCCACCAGTGCATGGCTGATGAGCGTCGGTAAACCGGGAGTGGCTGTCCTGACGTTTTTATAGCCTGCCAGCAATACTCGCCGAATCTTGGGCTTAATTAGTGCGGTAGATTTAGGTAAATACCGCATCAGATGTCCAAGGGCTACTAAATAATGCAATGATAATGCTGCCAGGGCATGTAAGATACCAAAGGTCTTCTGTGATATGCTGTCGCTTTAGCGGAAACCTGTCGGTGTATTGAGTTGAGGCGAAGACCCGGAGAGACTGGCAAAATTTTATTATAGCTTTGGAATTCCAGCGAATTTTGCGAAACTCGAAATGTTAACATCCGTCTGCACAGCTCTAAATATATTTTGCCGAAATCCGCTTCAATTTGTATCATCGAAGTCCTATTTTAATCTTTATTTTTCCGTGTTTGTGCAACGTGATGGTTCCCCTCGGGCTTTGATTATCCGTTCAACTTAAACTTACAGTGAATGTGTTACCTCATGAAGTGTTTGCCGAAGTTCAGATATGTGTCTTCGATTCGAAAAAATTGCTGTATCTATATTTAGGACCATGCGGCGGAATCCTAGAATATTGCAGTCATAACAGGATGTCAGCTGTTGAGCAAGCTTTTTTCCGGCCGCATGCATAAACAACTTTTGATAAAAACGACTCTTCTAGTGATAACTATTTCCCCTGTTATATTTGGAGGCCCTCATATATTCGAAAATATTTCATAGGAATGTGTAAAATTATTTTTTCTTTTACTCAGTAGTAACGAGGTGCGCCGACTTCAGATTTTATGTTAGAGAACAGAGTATCTTTCGGTTCTTAAGAAAGTCTCCAGTTTTGGGCTTTTTGAGACTGCGAATTATCTACTCATTAAACACCGAATCTCGACATTTATTAATATTGCCTGAAACAAAATAATCCAAATCGACTGTAAAATCTTATGTGTTTTGTAAGATATCTTTTAAATAACATATAGAAATGTATAATTTTCCTTACGTGGAAAATATATAGTTTGTAGTTTGGAAATTTTTAATACAGAATCTTATGCAGGTCGGGCTAAAAATTAGCTAGGAAATGACAAAGAACTTTTAAAACAAAATAACACCATTTTTAACACAAACTTGAAAAAGGCATGACCAGTTTCCAAATAGCTAAAATCAAATATCTGTGTACAATTTTCCCATAACATGTAGTTGAATACATAAGAGCTCCGAAAATAAATGAGAACAATTCATACTTCTGGAGCAGTCATTTTTTATCGAGTTTAGTTTATGCAAGTGGCCAGACGGAAGTTTGTTTAAAAAGCCGGCATCATAAATTGATCGAAATATCTTTGGATTCTGCAGCATGACCATTACAACTCTATCTAAGCTATCGTTTCGGACCTGAAACACTTTTAAGAATGTCTGTCACAGTTTTGTGGGATAGCACATCTAGAATCTTCTCCACACGGCCACCACTGACCAATCATCCATTCGCATGGATTTTATATATTCTATTTGTTTTTTTGAATCATAAGGCCAAGTACTTTTGCGTACTTGATCATTTGCCATACTGACAAGCTAGGTGTTGGATAACATCGTAGGCACGTTTTTTGCAGATTTTTTGTCTTCGCATGGCTCAAGCTGCGAGGTACCCAGCTCATCATTCCCCTTGTGCCTTTTGATAGGTATTCTAATTTTGCAATTTCAGCTTTATAGTCTTCTTAGAAATTAATATGAGGACTTGATGTAAATCCTTCGGAACAACGCTTTTCAGGCTAGGCTAGTCAGTTGACATAAGGATATAGGAAGTAGAGGCGATCGCGGGAACAAGCGCTTTCTTAGCCTGACGTTTCAGATACTTGTTCAAACCCATCATCAGAGGCAGTGACAGAAACAGATGATTCGTGCACAGGAAGCTGCAGTATTTTTTGGACGCAGTCGAAATGCTACTGCATACCTACATTAATTGACCGCTATCCCCACTGCCACGACAAGAAGCATTTGGAGTCGTTTACCGGACCTGGTGCGTTGCGGGCAAAGCAGTTACGTAGGAGAAACTGGAAGACTCCTCCGGACGCGAATTTCCGAACACACGGCAGCGGTGGGGAGAAATGATGCCGACTCTCAGGTCACGGCTTATTCGACATGACCCGGCCACACATTTAAGTTCAATGGGGCCGAAATTCTTCCAAGGGGTGATAATCGCGTGAGTGACGAGTTGCTTGAGTCGTGTTTCAGGGGATCTTAGTCTATAAACAAGTGCAACGACATCTCCTCTCCGTGTTCCCTGTTGAGATATAGTCTGGCCAAAGCGCACATGCCGGTGATCCAAATGGACGAGTGATAATCACGCCAGCATTCAACACGGATGATGAGATTTTAGTAGTCAAGAACTTGCATGCCGGCCGTAAAGCAATTAGCGCACCGGCGGGCAGCAATTCTCGATGAAAGGGAGAGCGGTCAATTATCGTAGATATGCGGTAGCATAGCGACTGGGTCCTATAAATACTGCAACCGCCTGTGAAGGAATTACTTGTTTCGGTCGCTGTCTCTGATGATGAGTTCCAGCGAGAATCCGAAACGTCAGGCGAATAAAGCTCTTGTTCCCTCGATCGCTTTCCCTCCTTACTGACTAGTTTCTGGAACTTCGCTTGAGTTGACAAGAGAATCTGAACCGAAATCAATGTCTAACTGAGGCATGGCCTCGTGGTATTCACAGCGTGTAATTTATTGGGCTTTTGGTAAAACGTCGGGGATGTCAGGCCGAATTTCACTGATGGAGGACAAATACACAGTGTAAGATAGGTTTACTTAAGGACGGTGCGCTGTACTGGATCCATAATAAAAAATGAAGGCGCTTATTTTGGATTTCGAAGGTTGCCAAAATTGATTTTCTACATAAATCTTCAAGAAGAACCATCGTCGCTTTTACCAGAACTCCTTGCAGAATTTGACTATTGGGCCTTTTGTCCCTTAGCTAGTACATATTTGTCACCAGCAGTGAGAACAATCTGAAGAAGTGTTAGTCGGAATTTTGAAATTCGTTTTTGATTGGAAGGGATTACTTAGGTAGGGTTGTAAGACTGATCATAACTCAGCATTATCCTGCAAAATGCAGGGCTTGGCAGGATGTCGGCCTTTAAATGCTTTTTATTCGACCTCTAGTAAAAACCGCATTCAGTAAAAATGACTACTTTTGTAGTACGCATTTTTCATGCTGATTTTCGATGGCCTGAAAAGTTCAAGTATATTTTTAAAAAAAACATAAATTAATTATTGTTTGCTAATTTAATAACAAATCAATTTGACTTTGTACTTAATACCCAAAGAAAGAGTATTTTTTGACTTTAGAAAAATTTATTATGCGATTTTTAAAAGATATACGATGTCTATTAGTACAGCATCGTATCTGTCCGTTTCTTAAGTATACAACATACTTCACGCGCATTGCAAAACTTAGTTAATTATACATTTTATCTTCTTAAAGATATTTAGAAATATAAGATTTTCTTTGCGCGAAAAGTACAGTCCGTAACTGATCTCATGAAATGTTGGCCGAAATTCCGAAGTGTGTTTTCGAGTAGGAAGGATTAATAAGGTGCGTTGTAAAAGTTAATAATTATGTAGCACAATCCTGTAGTATTTTGGACTCGACAGGACGTCCAATTTTGGAATTTAATTCCCACAGGGACTGCACTTGGCAAAAAATGACTACTTAAGTAACATGTATTTTCGTACATTAATTTTCAATGGTCTTATAAATTCAAATATATTTTATAGAAAACATATACGAAATATGCTTTCTTGTACTTTTGTGGTAGAAAGCTACATTGGCTTTATATGTTGTACCCTAAGAGAGGTTTTATTTTGGTTTTAAAAAAGTTTCTAACTATGAGGTCTTCAAAGTCGTGTAAGGTCCATATATACAGCATCGCACGTGTACGTTTACCAATGTTCCTCGTGGAGTGTACAACACATCCTCTATCCATTGCTAAATTGTATGAACTCTATAGAGTATCCTTCTAAAGGCATAGAGGAATATATGATTTTCCTTACGAGGAACGCATGCAACTTGCAGACTGAAATCGCTAGACGCTAGTGCAATGGCTGATCAGGCTAAAAATTATTCAGGAATTGGGAAACCTTGTAATAACCTAAATATGCACTTTTTCGGGTATAAGATGTGAAGCTAATGCCGGGTTCTACAAAACAAGTAAAAGGAAGCATATATAAAAATATAATGCATGTTTGCTATAAAATATATTTGAATTTATAGGACCAGTAAAAATTAATGTACAAAAATACTTGCCACTAAAGTATTCATTTTTTGCCAAATGCGGTTTCTGTTGGAAGTCGTATAGAACTGCATTCAAAATCGGACATGCTGTCGAGTCCAAAATAGTACAGGACTAGGCTACATAATAATTAATCTTACGACGCACCTAACTAATCCTTTTTAGTCGAAAACAAATTTCAGACTTTGGGCCAACATTTTATGAGATTGGTCACGCACTGTATATCATCTTGTAGATTGAAGTCGCCAAATGTTAGTGTAGCTTAACTTTTTCTAGAATTTATATGACTTTTTTAAAACGTAAATTAACTCTTTCTTTGAGTAAAAAAACTGAAGTAAACGTGATTTTTTATTAAATAAACAAAATAATAGTACGTTTAAATGCGTGTTTTCTCCAAAACGAATTTGAATTTATAAAACCATCAAAAAACGACGTGAGAAATGCACACTACATAAAAAGTCATTTTGTTACCAAGTGCTGCTTTTAATGGAGATTGAAAAAAGCGCTATGAAAAGCCAGTATCCTGGCAAGTCCGAAATATTATAGGGCTATGCTGAGTGATAATCTGTATTAAAGCCCTACCTAAGTAACACTTCCTAATCGAAAACGCATTTCAGAATTTTGGCCAACAGTTAACGAGATCTGTTACTTACTGCATCCGCGATGGTATGATTGAGACCAGATAGTTTTTTAAATTCACTGACACTAATTACTACTTACAGTAGATGTGCTAACTCAAGAAATGTCAACCAAAATTTCGAAATGCGTTCTCGTTTCGAAAAGATAAATTAAGTAGTGTTGTAAAACTAATCATGATGCAGCATAAATCTATAATGATACAGTTACCGCAGGGTGTCGACTTTCGAAAGAACTTATTTTCGGCTGCATGCATGATCAATACTCTGTAAAAAATGACTACTTATGTAGCATGCAATTTGTCATTGATTTTCGATGCTCTTGAAAATGCAATAATATTTCATGGAAAACATGCATAAAAATATTCATTCTTTTACTTATTCGGTAGTAAATCACGTCTTCTTTCAATTTCGTAATCAAAAACAGAGTATAATTTTGTTTTAAAAAAGTGTCTAATTGTGGGATTTTTTAATACCGTTAAATGGCCAGTCATGAAACTTCATGCATCTGCATTTACGAATGTGGCTTGTAAAGTTAGCAATATTTCTCAAATCCACTGCTTAAGTTTATGAAACTCATATGGTCTCCTCTTAACACTGTATAGAAGTGCATGGTTTTCCATACACGGAAAATATACAGCTTGTAGTTTTAAAACCCTGAATGCAAGTGTAACAGCAGGTCAGGTTCAAAATTATTCGGGAATTAAAAAAGTTTTTTTAAAAACGAATTATACTCTTTTTTGAGTATAAAATTGTAAGAAGACGTGATTTTCTATCGAATAAGTAAAAGAATGGATATTTTTATGCATTCTTTCTATGAAATATAATTGCATTTTCAAGGGCATCGAAAATCAATGAGAAAATTGCATGCTGCATAGTAGTCATTTTTTGCAGAGTGTAGATCATGCATGCAGTCGAAAATAAGTTCTTTCGCAAGCTGACACCCTGAGGTAACTGGATCATTATAGATTTATGCTGCATCATGCTTAGTTTTACAACACTACTTATTTTATATTTTCGAAACGAGAACGCATTTCGAAATTTCGGTTGACATTACATGAGTTAGCACATCTACTGTATTTGACTTTCTTTTTATCCATTGCAAGGCATCATTGCTTTATCATCTCCTTTCCCTTTTATAATTCGCTGTATTCCTTCATCATGTTCCGGCACAATGTTACACCGTCTTGCTGGCTCTACGTCCAAAGTCATACAAGCAATTGTGAAATAAGTAATTTTTTTAGTCGTGTTATATTATAAAATCGACTTATTGACAGTGCACGAAATAAGCCAATCCCAAAAATCTGCTCAAAGCAGGCTTAAAATCAGATAAGTCAGCAGGACTCGACTAAAAGTTATTCGAAAGGACTACTAGTTGGCTGGCGGATATGACCTACCTGCGCGTTCATTTATAGTCTTAAAATATAGTAGCAGTTCATTTTTATAGTCAGACTTAGTCGGGAGCGTAGTAAGCACAAAAACAGGAAGAATCGTTTTTATCAAAACTGGGGAAAAACGTAAATACTTCAGAAATGATCCATGAATTTTACCTAAAGGCAACCCTTTTAGGACAAGCCAAAAGGTTTTTCAGACGCACTTGGCAAGGGTCATCTCGACGGCCTAAAGTGGCAAGGAAAGGCTGGGAAAAGGCTAGCAATAATTAACCAGAATTTGCATTGGCCGGTAAAATAATTGCGTTGGTTATTATTTTCCACAGGCCTCGTGATTAGATTGGCAATGCTGTGCTTTGTCTCTCTGGCAGCGACTAGACACAGATAGAAAACCCTGGGCCTTCCACCAACACAACAGGATTGCTAAGTGTTCCCAACAATTACGCAAGGTTTAAATCATGCATCTCGCAAAGCGACTGTCAGATAGCATTGCAGCCCTTACACCAGATAAAGAGTGGGTGGGCTAACTCATGAAATGTCAAGCGAAATTCCAAAATGCCTTCCCGATTAAAAGAGATTAATTAAGTAGGGTTGTAAAACTAATCATCGTACACGGCAATTCTATAACAATCCAGTTACCTCGGGATTCGGGCTTTCAAACGAACTTTTTTAGCTGCATGCAAAAACTATGCTCTGTAAAAAATGCTACTTAAGTAGCATGCAGGCTTGTCAATGATCTTCGTTGCCCTTAAAAGTTTAATTATATTTCATGAAAAACATCCATAAACATATTCATTCATTTGCCCATACGGTAGAAAATAAGGTCTCCTTCCAATTTCAAACTCGAATAAAGAGTGTAATTCGATCCAAACAGTTTTCGATTGTGGAATTTTTTTTATAGCGTACAATGGCCGTTCATAAAACGTCATGCTTCTGCATTTACTAACGTGGCTTTTAAAGTTAACAATATGGATCAGGTCCATTGCTAAATTTTACGCATCCCATATGGTCTCCTCTTAATACGTACAGAGATGTATGGTTTTCCGTACGCGGAACATATACGACTTGTAATTTGGGAACCCTGAATGCAACTGTAACGCCAGGTCCCGCTCAAAATACTCACGAATTGGAAAAGATTTTGAAAACTGTTTTTTTACCCGTCCTTCGAGTACAAACTTGAAAGAAGGTAAAAGTTTCTACCGAATATGTAGAAGAATGAACATTTGTATGCGTGTTTTCCACGAAAAAATAATCGAAAATCAATGACAAAAGTGCATGCTACATAACTAATCATTTTTACAGAGTGTAGGTTTTTGCATGCAGAAGTAAAGACGTTCGCTCCAATGCGAGCATCCTGAGGTAAGTAGATTATTGTAGAATTACGCTGCAGACTAATTAGTTCTATAACTCTACTTAATTAGTCTTTTCGAAACGAAAGCGCATTTGGGAATTTCGATTGACATTTCATGAGTAAGTTCACCTAATGTAGGAGCAGTCTTGAATATAAACAAACAAAACCGTCCAACGGAATAGGGCTTACAGCCGTCATTCTAAAGGAAAAAAGAAACCCATATCACGTCCCGTGAATAAAGATGGATCAGTGCAGGTCATGATGGTGTACGTTTAATGTACAGGGGAGGAGATTTACTGTCGGCGATGTGACATGATCTACGCGGCTGTCAAAAAGGCGATGAAATGGATAAAGGTATAAACCAAACTCGCCCTACCCCCCAGGCACAAAAAGCAATCTCCTGCAAAGCACTGAAATGCAACCGGCATCGTTTAGTGGCGGAGACAGGTCAGATGCGTGATTGATAATTGAGAAGTATATGCCTTTTTTACAACCAGCAATCACGTAGGCCCCGTTGATTTTCACAACGACCGACCGAACTCACCTCTTTTGGGTCATAGAGCTGTGGAAAGTCAGTCGAAAATGTGCATGCATGGCAGGTGTGTATGTGATCAAGTTTCTGCACAGAATGCTAAAATTGCCGGTGACGTAGAGTGGACATCATAGAGAAATTGGATTCCGCGCTGTGTTATTGCGCATTTTGTGTTTCTACGAAACTACAGGATCTTTTTAAAGGTCGAATGGTCAACTCTACCGTATAGTGCGCTCATAAAGAGGCAAAACTAACGTTAGGAGAAGCGTTATACTTACATATGCGTCAAAATCATTCGGCCACCCACACACACACACCAAAGAAATGCGCAGATAAGAAATCAATTTATAGTTAATCCGTCCTCTTCAAAAGATACAGTATGTGACCGAACTCATGAAATGTTAGCCAAAATTCTGGAGTGCGTTTCCAAATAGGAAGGATTACTTAGGTGGGGTTGTAATACTGATAAGCATGCAACATAATCCTATAACATTTCGGAATTGCCAGGATGTCGGTTTTTGATTGCATTTCTTTTTGACCTCCTGCAGGAAACCGCATTCGGTAAAAAAAGGGTTATTTATGTGGCAGGCATTGTTCCGATTTATTTTCGATGGTCTCACAAATTCAAGTATATTTTACAGAAAACATGTACAAAAATATGCCTTTTTGCTCATTTGGTAGGTAATTTCATTTTCTTCATATCTTATGCTTGAAGAAGGGGTGTATTTATGTTTTAAAATGTTTCCCAATTTTCGGATAACTTTCAGCCTCATCTGCCATTGCATCAGCTATAAACTGTACGCCAGTAAAATTCGAGGGGGCCGCCACCTCGTGGGCGGGGGACATGAGGACACCTACTCACCAGACTGAACCAGCCTGAAGAGCCTGCGAGGCGCGCATGGCCTTATCCATATCAGTAGTGAATAGGCCGGCACCCAGACCGTAGGTGGTGCTGTTAGAGCGCTCAATAGCCTCCTCAAGAGTGTTGAACTTGAGGATGCACTGGACCGGACCAAAGATCTCCTCCCTTGCAATGCCCATTCCGTCAGTGACATCGGCAAAAACCGTGGGTTGGATGAAGTAGCCCTTTTGGTCCAGTCGAGCACCACCGGTCACCAGACGTGCACCCTCCGTCTTGCCGCACTCAATGTACTTCATGACAGTATCAACTTGGGTCTGGCTGATCTGTAAGCAGAAATAAAAGGAGGAAAACTATGGTGGACTGACGGGTTGTAGTGATGGGCAAGGAAAAAAGGTGAGAGAGCATACCAAACAAGCCCAGGAGTCATAATCTGAGAGGACTGGTAGTCAAGATCTGACCAAGCGGTAGTAAAAACAGTATCTTATCCCCGGTGACTTGAGTCGGTCTGTCTGTGCGTCATGGCTTGTTTACAGGATCAGTCTGCCGGCACCTCTCTGCCAGGAAAGAATAGTCATCCTACGAGGTAACTCGCTCCGAGATACGCTTTTAGCGTGACCATAAACGCGACCCATTATCCAACAAAAACACTAGGCCAAAGTAAGTAAGCTAAATATCCAAACAGCGCCAATAGATGACTGTCGGCCATCAAACAGTCAGCACACTAAGTGCAACGATCCCTGATGAAGTGGGGGGACCGTAAATCCGAAGACAAAGATGCGATCACCGGAACAAGAAATTTATGTGCCTGACCTTTCGGATCCTTACTCGAATCCATCCTCAGAGACATTAGCAGATAAAGGTGATTGTGGCACCAGGAGTGCAGTATTTATAGCCCGTCGTTGTCGTAGGACCACATGCACACTGTAATTAACAGCTCTCGCAATCACCGCTGAGGTCGCAATTGATGCGATGGTGGCTTGTCAGTCCGCGTCCGGGCCATTAAATGCCATAATTTCGTCATCCATGTTGGATGCTGGTGTGACAATTGCTCAGCAAATTGGCTCACTGTCCCTGGGATAATTGCTGGCCTGCGCCCTCCCCACGTGACTGATTCCTCTACCTAGGCAAAATTTCAGCACGGAATATGGTAGCGGGAGGCCATTGCGCTTGTTGATGGATTGCGGGCCTGAGAACCATGATTCGAGCAGCTCGCGGCTCACACGGTTGTCACCCCTTGCGAGGATTTCGGCCTCTTGAAACTTGAAACTATGGTCAGGTCCCATCGAATGAGCCGCTACATGAGAGCTAGCGTCTCCCCACCTCACTGCTGCTACGTGCTCGGCAATTCGCGTCCGGAATAATCTTCCAGGTTCTCCGACGTAGTTGCTTTGTCCGCAACTGCATCAGATCCGGTAAACGACCCCAGACGTTTCCTGCCGTGGCAGTGGGTCTTTTGGCCCCTTTACTTGGCGCCTAATGGTTGCTTTCGGCCTGTGTACAACCCCAACTCCAAGTGGAGTGAGAAGACGACTAACGGCTTCCGAGACGTTCTTCAGGTACGGAAAAACCCGTCAAAATTTGGGGCCAGTTGGCTTTGGTCTCTGGTGTCCTTTCATATGCACTGGTTGACAAAGCTGCGCGGGTAACCATTGGCTCTCATTACCCGTCGAAGATATTGTAGTTCAGCAACCTTGTCTTCCATTTCACTGCAGTGCAGTGTGTTATAGGATTATGCTGCATGCTAATCAGTATTACAACCCCACCTAAGTAATCCTTCCTAATCGGAAACGCATTCCAAAATTTTTGCCAACATTTCATTAGATCGGTCACGCACGGTAGATGGAAAACCTGTGGAAAATATAGTTGGCAAGTTGGAAGAAGGTCAGCCGAAAAGATGGGACAGTGCATATTCGGCGCGGCTAAGCAGTTCCCGAATATCTTGAACCAGAGTAAAAGAGACGCATTCTGCCCTGCTAAGCTCATAAAAATCAAAAGTCCAGTTTCAAAATGTTGTAAATTTTAAAAGTGCATGCTGACGATAGTCAGATGAATTCTTGCTGACTACATATACAGCCGATGTTTTATAAAACCGAAAGATGATCTTTCTTCATAAATAAAATTTAAAGAAGACATAGTTGGCTACCAATTGAGTGAACGAAATAAATTTTCATGCATGTTCTCCATAAAATATGTCTAAATTTGCAAAAATATCCAAAATTGAATGGAATGTAGTTTGCAAAAGAAGCTCGTTCAAAGGCCAACATCGAGATCTGACTGGAATATCTTGGCGTTATGTGACATGGTTCTTAACACGACAAGCCTACTTAAATGACTTTCTCGAATTGAAAACGCATTTTGGAATTTCAGTTAATATTTCATGAGATAGCATGTATGCAGTAAGTATGGGATACAATTTAAAGTTTATTGAAAGGTTAATTCCAGCAATCTGTCTGGTCACACTGATAGGACTGGAGTTCCTGAGATTTGGCCTTTCGTCCCGTTTGTGTATGCACCGGTAAAGGGAGTTAAACGGGTGCCCATTGGCTTCGAACACCCGTCGAATGTATTGTAGTTCAGCATTCTTGTCTTCCGGCTCACTGGAGTGCGTCGCAGCGTGCCGATCGAGCATCCTTATAGAACTGTATTTGTGGCTGATTGGGGAATTGCTATTTAAATTCAGTACTTGCGTCGTATTTGTCGTTTTCCTGAGAACTTTAGTCTTTAAGGCAGCACATCCTTTGCAGCATATGATGACATCCACGAAAGCCAGCTAGTTAATTTCTTTTCCCTTCATAGTAAATTTTATTTCTAGGAAAACAGCTTTAAGACTTTTTTAAATGCTCGCAAGTGATCCCGGTCGATAACGACGAAAGCATCACCCGCGCACCAGGCCCTGAATTTCGGTCTGGAGTATTGGAAGACCAGCGACTCTAGCCGTTGCAGAACGGCCTTGGAGATGAGTTCCGAAATCGGCGACTTCATTGAAGCACCTTTCACCTGCTCGTAAACTGTTTATTTAAACGCGAAGTACGTCTAAGACAGAACTTCAGCAGCCGGAGAACATGGGCGGGTCCAAGACGATTTTGCGTCTCATTGTGTTTACTTCATAAGCGTAGCTCGATGGTCTCGATTGCCAATCCTGGGGAATAGAATTAAAGATGGACGTAACATCCGAAGATACCATGACCTCGTTTGGCAGGAGTTTCTCTATCACCCTGGACGGAAAATGCTGTTTTTGAGTGGAAGGCGGGGATGGTGATGCTGGTGACATATCCCGTGAGATATCCCGCAGGTCGGCAAACGACTGGTTCCCAAGAAAGCAGCGTTTGGTTTGTCCATTCTGTGTAGGCGGTCATAACATTCTATCAACCGAAGGAGTTTTGCGATTCGGGTTGACAGATAGGGGGTGAGATACGAGTTAACCCTCGGAAATGAAATTTCCCTCAAGTACTAGTAAGTGACTGGGGCCTCAGGTGGGCAGCAGATATTCACACTGTGCCAACGAACACTGCGCGTTCTCGAATTTTTGGCCCCAGGGTCTAAAAAATCCCGCGCATACTAGTGAACAATAATCAGGGTGCGCTACAGACTGAATGGCGTAATTTACTCACAATTCACCGGCACCAGAATTAGACAGTTGTTCAGGAGGCCAATCGAGAGTTTGATATCGTTCTCAGGCATCTGACGCCCTTTGTATGAGGTCTCGAATGGCAATCCTGAAGGGGCACTTCGATCACTCGCCTGGGATGTTGGAAGGCTGACACTTCCTCGCCGCTCCCTAGTTTACCCGAGGTCTATATGAAACATATTTCGGCAGTTCGAAGGGCAGGGGTTTAAAATCGTTCACCTGACAGTTCAACCGTCGTTTAGGACGATACCCACCGCGTGCTCCACGGCAAGGTGAAGGAGGCACGGTAACTTGTTCATAAGTTCGTTTATAGTGACCGTAGACTTGTACAACATCTGCCGCACTCTCTCCTCCCCTCTCGGCTGGGTAGGGTGCCAAGACAGAGTCACGAAGACCGGAGGTGGAGAAGGGCGCATACAGGTGGATGACAGGGCGCTCCACTCTACACTCCTGGTCTACACAGCAAATTACTAGTATTTTAACCAACATTAGCAACACCACAACGGGTCAGAAGGATGACTGGGGAGTCGTGCTCACGACCTGTATACCCAGCGGAAGCGCAAGCGCATCTATTGGCAGGGAACCAGGTGTCAGAGAACTGCTGGCGCATACCGGGCTGCGAGGACCATGGTATAGCAAACGCTAACAGACCTTGTTTATAACCGCCCATCCGAAGCATCGGACACAAGCAAACACAACGACGCATTACAGGAAACTGTAACGAGGGAGGAGCTTCAAACACTGGTAAAAGTGTAATCATCCGATGTTAAAGGATCCATATCTGGATTCAGTCTCAGAGAAGTTAGCAGATAAAGTTAGCAAAAACACTCAGGGTCACTGGTACTGTTACCATTCAACCGCACATATAACGAAATGAGTAGCTTCGGTATTCTTCGCGGATAATCATGCCTCACTTGCATTGGAGTTGTGAATCACAACTCTTTTATTGCCAGCGTTTGTGCCGGACGTGTGCGAAATTACTTTGTCCTGAGACGTGATGGTGCTCAAGGCCGTAAAGGAGTCTTTATCTGGGCCGTGACACTCGTCCCACTGCTGACTACTCACGCCGCCGTAGCAAACTCCGCAGAACGCACATCCTTTAAGTTGACACAAGCAGGCTGCCACAACGCCTGCATTTGTGCCGCCGTCAGCCGATTGACCCAAGTTGCGAACGTCTGCAGTTAATGCTCGACAGTCGGCGACGCGTGTACGCATCGCTGGTCTTTAGGTCTGCGTCGACCAAGAAAATTAAACGCAAGAAAGGCGATCAAGATGCACCAATGGGGTTAGGACATCGTCTTTGCCAAAGTACCTATCATGCTTAGGGGTATAAGATAGTTTAATAGCATTTTTAATCTGACAGCACTGTTGGCTGTTTTCCGATATTACTCGTTTTTTTTTTCTCATTATAAACATTGCCACGCGTTTTAAGGCCATCAAGGGATGCAAAAATGCGGGACTTGGAAGTCTGCCAACTGACGGGCAACTTGGTCCTCCTCCGCTCAGAACGGAGTCACGCAGCAATGGCACCTTTCTAATTTGACCTTCATGATACTCATACTCAGTTGGGAAACGAACCGATCCCTTGTTTCTGCGACACCCTGGTCCCTCATACGCCAGCAAGGCGCGTGCAGCATGCGTGGGCGGGCTGTTGAGCTTTGTCCCCCACTGCGTGCGATCCCGACTCTGGCCACCTTGGCCACGTACTGGCATCGGGTTTAGGTTTTTTTGTGAAAGGAAAAAGTAAGGCAGATGTTGCATAAGTCTACATTCATCAAAAACTAATTCTCGCGCAGTTCACCGTCTCTCAGCTCACCATTCTGCGAAGTGGATTTTTTAAATTCCCACGATGTCCGTCAATTCCACTGAACTTTGTGAGGTTAGGGATAAGTCAACCTGTCCAGCAGGCTTTTGGGAGCGAAACTAAAAGTGAGCGCGTGTACCCATTCATGTCCACTTTTGGACCTCACCAATGCGGAACGATCCGGTTAACGGAGGCGAAATCCACTTCATCGCCTGCTCTGATTTTGCAGTGCCTTAGATTTGCGATGACCATCACGTGATGAGTGGTTTTTCCAACTACATTGTCCCAAATCTTACCCCCCCCCTCCCCTAGCTCTAGGGACCAAAGCCCGTTGACTTCGTCATGCGGGTGGCGTGGGGAAGCTGTGTTAATGACTTAGTAATCCTTGAGGCACTGTTAATTTTGTACATTTTAATTCCTTCATGTAACTTTATTGGCCTGACGAAGAACTACCGAAAACACGTTTGCCAACTTGACTTTTCCAGTGTAACATGGAAATATTTGCGGACATTTGCGTTTGTTTAAGTAGCTGGTGCCTATCCCGTCTCAAATAATAATATTTCAACATGTTTAAAATGTTTCAACTGTCCTGCTAAAACGGCTGATTGAGGCAGTACATGGGTTAAACCCGCAAGACAGGTAAATGGGGGCTTTCCCCCCCCTTGACAGTCCATTTCTGCGAAAGCGCGTTCCCGCTTCATGTGAACCTCAGACCTTTATAATAACTTAACATTAGTATTCTTCACTGACCCCAGATGAACTCTGAGGCAGCTGGGTCTTAAATTCATTGCACAAATTATAAAAAACGCCGGAATAAGCGAAATGTACGTACTATTTTGGACAAAAGGATGAGTATAGTTGACTATCGGTCAGAACAACCTTTTTAGGCTCGGTTAGCGAGGTGATGTTAAATACTTTTTACAGAAATTCTTACAAATCAGCGAAAATGCCGCGGAGCATTCACCTTCATTTCTGCATAAATACATATTAATTTACTACACTTCGAGCAGGCGTATAAGCTTGCCAAAGAGAGCTAATGAAATTTCAAATTACTGCCGACGCCAGCAGTTACGCATCAGTTTGCAGAATAATTTTCAGGGGCAGCGTTTAATTTGCTTTTTCTACCTGCTGCTGGCCAAAGTATGCATGGTTAAATTGATCATTTAAAAAGTCAATCCGACAAACACCTGTTTTCGGCAAATCATCCTCAAGCCAAAACATTTACATAGAAGTTAATAATATAAGACGTTCACAGGATTAATAAGCGACTCAGAGTGTTATAAAAACCCATCGTTCCCACGCCATCCACATGATGAGTTCGGAGTACTATGATCATTGAGACAAGGAGGATGACAGACTGAGGTACGTAGAGTACACATCACTGTCGTCGGGGAGTTGGGCGGCATGCAAAACCATCTGGAGTCGGCTTTGGCCACGAACGACTAAGTGCCTGTGTCAACGTCTTCTGATAAAATAGCACTGAATTTTTCAGCCGTATAGCCACTGCCTCGGCTGTTACTAGCACCCGTTGGCGTAGCCCTCTGTAAAAACCTGCTGGCGTCTGGTAGACAACCTGAAAGCCTGTCTTGACATCGATTCGGTTATTTGCAACAACAAGATGTGCAAAAATAGAACTCGAAATCGATCTGTTTTTAAATCTGCCTAGCCAGGCCAATATGTGCTCACGTACTCTCTTTTTCAGGCGTCTCCTTGTACGGCCAACGTATCCCTCTCCTAAGGATCAAGTGATTGAGTAAATACATCGATGTGGCCTGCAATGGTCGTGGGTTTTTACCTCCAAAGCCTAGGAAGGGGGAGTTTATGAAACATATGTGTAGATTCGCCGAGGGGGAAGTGTTAATGATTGCTGTCCTCAGACGTCATCTTACTAGGTTGCTTGCTGTGTCCCCTTGAAAAGTGATTCTTATAAGCGAGTCTTCCTTTTCTGCAGTTGTAATGGTAGGCTTTACATTAGGATCCTTAATATTTCGGAGGATAAAGTTGCCTGGGTACACGTTTTCGCGGAGTATTTTCTGCAGGTGCTAGAGTTCTTCACATCCACTCTTACACCAAATCAGACGGAGTTTCTGCCAGAAATTTTACCCTGAAGTTCGCAAATTCATTTCTGAGAAAATTAGAAGGCTTAACTAGGTCTAATACAGTTAAAGTCTAACTGAAATCAGATCGCGTAAGAGGGTTTAAATAACTTGTATGACAGTATTAAGTCAACAACCGCCAATTTGAAGAATATCCAGTTTGCTCGGAACTCATTCGCATTGTGATTTAGGTAGATCAAACGCACCGCAGCTGTACCCGGGGTAAAGAGAACAGGCAGACACGACGACCTCTTTTTATAAAAGAATGCCCGCTTACTTTAAATACTGGCTGAAATGTCCCATCTAATAACAAAAAGTCCATAGGATTGTCCAGTACATACATTCAGAAGAGTCTTCGGTAAGATGTGGTTATGTAGCCCCATGTGAGGAACACAGAGCTGTGGAGTTTGGGTAACTAGTAAGAGCTATCGTTAGGGGATAGTTTTAGGGGTTGGGGTCAGGGGCTAGAGTTAGGGGGTTAGGGTTAGGGTTTATAGCAATTATTTCTCAACCACTCAAAGTACAACCACGCATTCCCAGTAGCTTTTCTTTTGCCTACAAATACTTGACCTCGTCGCCGGTGCGTTTCCCGGCCCCGCCTGTAAAAACCCCTATTACTGCCGGTCCCGTATTACAGGTAACCGGGGTTTGTTTACTTCAGGTGGGGCTACATAACCACATCTGACCGTTTAGTCTCCTAATCCATGATTCACCGTCTTCATTCGTTAAAGCCGCATACACATGTGCGCTGAAGATGACGTATGCTAGTAGATCCCTTTATATAAACACCTCCATCTGCATTCAACAGTAAGATGATGGACACATAGTGTAACGAAAAGCCGTCGAAACGAAGCGTAAACAGCAGATGTTTTTGTTGCATGGAGAGTCCCCGTCGCCTCTTATCACGACGTACACTGTCGGTTGAATATTCTTAAAGAATAGGTGTGAAACTAACAAGACTAGGGTACGATACACACAGAGGTTAGCCAATGCAATGGTTGCTTAGCACCGACAAATCTTGCTGTTCTTGCCCATTTTAAATCATTCTGCCTTGTCTACGTCAATTTCCAAGCGCAAACATCTGTCGGGTTTATTTATTTTGTCATCCAACAGTCATTACTTTACATCACTCACTGCATTAAAGGAGACAATGAGGCGGCTTCCTAACTGTTACAAATCACCAGGGTAGGCATTGCCCTTCGACCCCAGACAACGATTCGTCGCGGTTTGATGTACCCTAGAGGCAAACTGCCACCCACTGAAACCTGAAAAGTTGTCTATCAAATGCGTTGTAACGATGAAGACTGCAAGTACGTTTGGCAGACCCGCCAAAGTGAGCAAAAGATGGCAACTCGGAGAGTAGACTCAAACTCACAGCTTGTGAGACACCTCGGAGAAA